AAGCACTAGATCAAATTGTTAGATAACAATAAGGCGATAATAGCGTTTTGCTCTAGCCTACTAAAATGGCAAGCCACCTACCAATATACTAGTCAATTACAATCTCTATGGCACACAATGGCTATGTCACTACTTTATCAACTAGGAGCTAGTGAGCAAACTAATTAGATCAACTAATTACTTCTAGTTACTCAACTAAGCTACGCTAGCTAGACTAAGGCTACCACTACACAAATATATATATATATATATATATATATATGAATGTAAATACAAGGGAAGAGGTGAATGGTATACCGAGTCGGCAAAAGATAAATCAATGAGAATACCAATTGACACCAAGATTTATCCCGATGTTCACTTGGTTGATGGCAAGCTACGCCCTCATTGTGACGACTCACTCACTTGGTAGCTCACGTGCTAATTGGCATGCACAAGCCATAACCTACACAAGGGTGCCGTAAGAACTAACACAAGATGAAGGTAGACAAGTTACGAGCATTCCACTAGAGTGGCCTTTGGCGCTCCGCCGGGGAATAAGCCCAAGAACCCCTCACAATCATGATGGGGAGTGGCCACGAACAATCACCAACTCGTGCCAAGACTCATCAGCTGCTCTAAGCCATCTAGGTGGTGGCAACCACCAAGAGTAACATGAAAATCACAGCAAAATGATCCCCAAGTGCCACTAGATGCAATCACTCAAGCAAATGCATTTTGGATTACTCCCCACTCACGAGGATGCACAATCAAGCAAGAGATTGAGTGGGAGAGGTTTAGCTTAGCTCACAAGGATGTATCAATGATCAAATTGTCCAAGAGAGTGAGCTAGAGCCGGCCAAATTCTATTTATAGAGCCCTAAGGGCTCACTAGCCGTTACCCCGAGCTCCGGACCCACAGATCAGGGGGTCCGGACCAATCACTCCGGGTTCGGTTCCTCCCACCTTTGAATGCTGAGCCACCATGTGTCCAGGTAGCCGTTGCCGCACCAACGTCTCTCTGCCATGCTCTAGACCAATTGACACCATAGTCTGGACCACAACAGAGAGATCCGAGAGCCAAGATTGACTCCGGACTGAGTCCGGACCCTGCCTACGGACCAACGGCCACTGAGTCCGAACGGTTTTGGCTAGTCTCTGCTTGCTGAAAATAATTCTTTGGACTACGCCATGGTCCGGACCGAGTTCAGAGCTCGCTCAACATCGCTCACTGCGCCACGTGTACCCCTACGCCCAACTAGATCGAGGGTCCATGGTCTGTACCACCTACACAACAGGGTCTGGAGCTAGCGCATAGTGCTGCGGCACTTAGGGTATGGTTCTAGACCCATGCACCATGGTCCGGACCACTGCAAACCCTGAGTTTGGAGCAACATTTCTTCCACTTTTCAACTCAAACGTCCACCCTTGGTTCCATGTGCCAACACCAATGTATTCCACCACTTGTGCACGTGTGTTAACATTTTCCAAAGCATTTTCAAGGGTTAAGTTAGTTCACACTAGGTCCTAATGCATATGCATGAATGACATCACCTAGTGGCACTTGATAACCGCTTTAACCATGATTTTTCCCTCTTCATCGTATGGCTATCTATCCTAAACCCGATCACACCCTCTATGGTGTCTTGATTGGTAAAACAAAATCCATATCAATACCATTGCCTTGATCTCCATGGGATTTTTGTTTTTCTCGTTCTTCTTTTCCAAGTCGGACCACTTGATCCATCTTTTGGCCACCTCCATCACCATGAGTGCCATCATCAAGCTCCACCACTTGGTGTGTACCAACCTATCTCATATCACTTAGAGCAAAGGGTTAGTACACCAAGGTTTTATCAATTATCGAAAACTAAACTAGGGCTTTCAGCCAGCTCCAAACCGACCTGGCCAGTTTTGGCTGGCTTTGCAGCCCTTGCTACATTCTTCGTTGCTGGAGGAAAGAAAGGATGTGTCGCATTGATAATATCTTCCCTCATTTTATGTAGCTTCTCCTTTTTCTGTTGATGATGTCGGGCATGCTGAAGTTTACGCCGTTTGGTTTTTATCAAGCCTGGTGGGCACCACTTTGGTTGGCAACACCTATATTTTCTCTTGATACCCTTAGTTTCTTGATCATTGGTAGTAGGAACTATAGGGGCTTCCTCTATCACCATTGGAGTTGAACCCTCAATCACAATCCTCTATGGAGCCTATTGTAATAAATGTCAGAGGGTTGGCTTCTTATATAGGAGCAGTGGCAATTTCCTCCCTTTTCTTAGGCACATAGACTTGCTTGACTGGTGCCTTCCCTTCTCTTGAGCTACCAAAGTCCTCGATGTGGCTAGTTGCTTTTGACCCATATTATCAGAGATCAATTAACAGAAGTTCAATAGGCAAAACACCGAAGGACGCAAATCAACGCCAACAAGACCTTTGATGAGGTACAGGCGCCGGTAGAGGATATGGTAGCCACACACAATAGGACCCCCACATAAGATGGGTTGGAGGTTGCACTAGAGGGCCCCCAACAAGACACATGTACCCTCTGCTACTACCAAGCAAGAACCGAAGCTTGCACAATTTGCTTTGATGATTCATCTTGCTTTGGAGGTGAACACTCTCTCTTTTTTAATGCACGATTCATAGAATCGACCTTTTTCTTTCTTGTACTAGGGCATAATCTTATCAAAGGTGCATTGATGTCTCACCACCTCTCTGTGTTCTTCATCTCATTAGACTCTTAGGTACCAATCTCCGGACAATGTGGTTTAAAAGTGTGCACAACATGCCCCACGGAGCTACTAGCACTGCAAAGAACCAGCCTGGCCGGTTCTAGAAACCGGCTCAGCCGATTTGCCTGCTGCCAGTGGGTTAGAACCGTCTTGGCTGGTTTCTAGAACTGTCTTAGCCAGTTTCGGCAGAGCCCCCGACGCTTTGTCACTTGCTTGTTGTTGAGTTGATGCCCATGCTGGTCCCTTTTGTGAGAAGGATCAAACAACGATCTTGAGCTTGTTCTTGCTAGCTTCATCTTTTTCAAGTGCGACTTTGCGGCCCACAATCTTTTGCTCATCATTTCTTGGTTCACCACTAACAACATTCTTCCCTATGGTAGACTTAGCTTGATCTAGCCAAACCAAGATGGCCGGGTTATTGCACTCAAGCACATTCACTCCTTGGGTGATGGTAAAGGATGAGTCAATTTAATATACCCGTCTCTAAGAAATTCATCAAAAATACGATCACACCTAGCCGGGTCAAAAGTAAACTTCATATCATCTTTCTAATCCTTTGGAATCGGCTTAAGAGATGGACATGTAACATTTTAAGAAGTAGGTGGCCATGCAAACTTAGCAAGATAAGACTGTCTCCAATAGTGCAACCCAAACGCAAAATGCGTCATACACAGTATTTTGTGTACCCAAAAATACGGTCCAACAGAAGACCCAAGCAACGGACCTATTTTGCATACCACCTGAGGCGAAACGCAAATAAAGCGTCTTCGAGAGAGACGACGCAAATCTCTGGCCGCCGCGGACGCGCTCGCCGATTGGAACACGAGCCAGGCCATGCCCTGCGCCTGGACGGGCGTCACCTGCGACGACGCCGGCGCCATCACTGAGGTCTCCCTCCCCAACCTCAACCTGGTCGGCTCCTTCCCCGCCGACGCGCCCTGCCGCCTCCCGCGCTTGCGCTCCGTCGACCTCAGCACCAACTACATCGGTGATTTGTGTTGGGAAGTGATGCCCCTTCCTCACGTTGCCCTCTGGGGTTCGATTTTTGAGTCTGAGCTGTTTCGTGCCCGAGTCCTTGGTTTCTAGTGGTTCCCTCTCTTGGTTCTTGATGGATTCAAGTTTTTCTTTGGATTTTGCTTGGACAGATTGATGCTTTATCGAGTGATGAACAAGATCCCCAAGTGATTTGAGCTAATTCCACTCGTGCTTCAAGATCCAAGCCGATTTTCATTTTGGGAAAAACTCGTGTTCTTGGTCTTAATTTGAGTTTCCCGGAGTTTGGGTCAATCCCAGACAACGATTTTTGGGGAATAGGTTCATGCTAAGCTGAATTTCATCTGTGCAAAGGTTGGGAGCAAATCGTTTTGATTTGATGGAGATCCAGTCGATTTTCTTGCAGGCGAGCTGCTGTTCGTAGCGCTCGGCCTTGCTCTGTTCTTCGTTCAGGTTGTGTTGGGCTTCTGTTGAAGCACTTCGGCGTTTGGCTCCAGTTGCCGAGTGGCACAGGTGGGCACAGAGCCGAGCGCTCCTTGTCCGAAGCCTCGACAGGCCGCGCCTTCTGCGTTCCCCGGAGTTCGCACACGGTGAGCAGCCCCGTCGTCTGCATTCTTCTTCGGTTCCGTGTTTTCGTCAGTATGTGTTTGTTTGCTGTTTGCGTCAGAGTGCAGCGCCAGGCGGGACTGCGGCGGGGAGCCGCTGGCGCGGCGAGGAGCGGGGCGGGGCGAGGACTTTTGCATAGGCTGTTGGAGAAGACATGTTCTAGGTGCATGACTCTTTTACTGTGTATGACCTAAATTATGGAATGGGTCTCTATTTTGGGTCTGTGCTGTTGCAGATAGCCTGAATCATCGTCCGAACTATCTAAATAGTACTCAATGGCATGCATATTAGGGCGACATGTGTAATGATGTTCCATAGATTCTTTACTTTGGCAAGATAGGTACTTGTTGTATTAATTAATGACAATATATACATCACAGTATCAAACTAGCAACACGTACCGGCACGCAGACTTTTATTAATTTGCTCTATTGGTTCATGCATGCTCGATCTGCACGCATGCATTTAAATTCCATCGGATTCACATGCTTGGCAATACTCTCCATCAACCCGTGCTCAGATAGAAATCATTCGTGTCGGTGGCCGTGGAGCGCGGTATGACACACCTGCATTGCACGGCCCAAACGGGCCAGACGCCATCCCAAACACAGAGGTGGATTCTGCTGTCTGGGCCCCCAGCACACGGTCCTGATTTTATGGGCTTTTTTCTTTGTTGTTGGGCTGACCGACATGCTCGCTCCAAGCGTCGACGTCATCGTGTCACCCTTCTCTCGCCGTGCTGCACCGTCGTCGGGCATCACCATCGCAGCCTCGCAGGAGGCGGCCATGGGTGATGATGGCGCGGGGTGCTGCCCCCGTCGCGTGGCTCGGCCTCCACGGCATCGGTACGCGCCTTCCTCAAAGGAGCACTGCGAAGCACGGTCTGGCCTCCTCTCCAAGATCGAGTCATCCTACACGGAGGCGCAGCACCGTCTCGCAGTGCGGGGGAGGCCCGTCACGCTCTCGCGCTTCCTCGACGCCGGCGTCTGCATCGGCCTCCTCGACCCCGTTTCCAACATCATGGTTAACACCATCTGCACTTCCGACAGCTGGCCGGACCTCCAAGTCAAGAAAAGGTCTTGGCCGGCGGCGTCGTCGATGACGATGAGAAGCTCGCCGAGATGGGCCGCCGCTCGCTGCAGGGCCTCATCTCCTTCCTAGATTCCCCTACGGCCCTACCTCGCCGAGTGGGAGTCCATGCGCTACCTGCTCCTCGCCGACGCCGACCTGCTCTGCGCCGCCAGCACCATCGTCGCCGACCGCGGCATGATGCTGCACTTCTCCCTCAACTCCCCCGCGTCCGCCCCGGCAGTCGAGGCGGCCCTCGCGCTCGCTGCGCAGGTCTCCAAGCACCCCCAACCCAAGCAGCTGGTCCGTGTCTGGATGCTGCTGTGCTCCCGTCTGCACCAAGCCTTCTCCCTGCTCTCGGTGGTGGACTCCCACTCACCACTCGGGGACCACGAGCGCCTGAAAACGATGCTGGATGACCCCACGGCTGCGAACCTGAACATACCCTGGCATCTTGCTGCTTCGCGGCCTTCCATACATCAACGCCATTGCCAAGATGCCATATCAGCAATTAGCACACCCGATCTCTGCGAATGGTGCTCCTTGACACGATCCACGGATTCTACCTGCAGGCGCTGGCCAGGCTACCGCGCGGCGAGCTACGCTCTCACCTCCACCGCAGTCTGCTCAGGGCTGGTCACTGCTACGGACCCATGGACCCAGCAGTCACCCCAGTGCTTGATGTTATCGGCCTGGACAGCCTCACCCGCCTACAAAGCCGCTCCTTCTATGGACTTGTCTCCTTCATCCAGACTCGCTACCATCATCTGTCTGAGCACCAGTCCGTGCAGTGTCTGATCGCTGCCTGTGGTCAGCTGTCCCTTGCTGATCCTAAGCTCATGTCTACAGCAGAGCAGAGTAAGGGGGAACAACGTCATCACTGCATGTGGAACCACTATGATGAAGTCATCAGAAGCGTGGAGCAGCAAAGCCCATGTGCTGGCGTCCAAGAGGCTTACATGGCTGCAGACATCGCAGCATGGCATCCCAACCCTGACGAGCAAGCTACATTCCTTGCATCTTGGAAGGGAGATCCGGTGGTGATGAACCAGCTCACCTCTGAAGATGTGCACCATTGGTCTCAGTTTATGTCTCCAGAACAGACACCAACTCCTGAACGAGTATGCAAGTCCGGCTATCCTGTCGTAGCTGGAAAGATGCGCTCTGAGGTTCAGCAGAGAAGGGTATCCAGAAAGGTGAAAGCTGCATTGCGCAAGCACCTACTGCAGGATGGGGTTGGTTGAGTACATCTGATCTTCATTGAACTGGTGATTTTGTTTGTGTTATTATTGTTGCGTACAATAAAAAGTTTTGCTAATTGATCCTATTTTGTTTTGTAGAAACCTGCATACGATCTTCATATCATCTCCTGTGTGAATAAGAATGTAGGTGGCCCGGAGTATTGCGAGGAGCAGATTGCTGAGGATTGCCTGTCTTTTGCTCCCTGTCGCTACCTTTACACTCATGTCAACTTCTTGGCCACTCGGAAGGATTCTCTGTCCAATACCTCCTATACGACACTCTTCTTTGCTGAATTTGATAATAAAAAGAAGGATGGGGCACCCCTTGTGTGCTGCCCTGTGCATGAGCCAATAGCTTTTGCAGGTACGTACATGCATTCTTTCCACATGACTTCTCCATGTCAGTTTTCACTTTGGCAGCTACTAACATCAAGCTTTCTTTGAACAAACATGTTTAGTGTTACAGCCTTGGCAATAGCATACGAAGAAATTAAAATAAATAGAGTGGAGGATCGTAGTAGAATTATTTTTTCGATTGCTGAGGTCTAAACGTAGCGAAAGATAACATTATAACAGTGCAACAAATAATTTCAAACATTTCATCATAGATTGCTCAGGGTCACCCTAAACATTGGCCCAAACTGTAGCACATTGACGACGAAAGATAACATTATAACAGTGCAACAAATAATTTCAAACATAGGAATTCATCGTAGCCATACTAAGAACCGAAAGCCAAGAATAAATAAACAAGGTCACCCTACAGCTTTGGCCCAAACTGCCCTTACAAACAATGCACCACCACGGAGTACGCCGCCTTGGCGAATCAGTAGTCCGGGAGGAGGGGCGGTTCCGGGAAGAACTCCCACCTTGTCCGGGAGGAGGGAGACACAAAAGTAGGAGGTAATTCATTGTATACTACTGAAAATCTGCATCTTCTCTTATAGGCCCCATTTGGGGCGCAAGGTGAGAGAGAGAGGGAGGAGGGCCTTCCTTTTGGAAAGGGAGGCGGCATTTGCCGATCCGCTACTTGGCAAAGTTTTTTTCATTTTTTTTTTCTTCTCCTTTTTTCCGGAACAGATTTTATTTTTTGTCTCACAACATTTCATCCAAAACCCTCTTGCCGAGTGTTTTTTTGTCAAGTGTTTTAGCGTCCACTTGGTAAAGAACTTGTTCACCGAGCAGGGAATACATAACAAACATTAAAACTCGATTCTATAAATTTTACTAAAAATCTAGCTGGGGCTAAAGAACTCAATGAAATCCGTTGCTGAGAACTAGTGATCTCTTCTGATCTTTCTTGCTGGTCATATAAGGATGTGGTTATGTGCAAGGTCTTATTGTTGTACTACCACTATATAAAATCTGTCAGCATATACACAACAAGGGGGAACCAATTTCATTCATACCAAAGGGGAGCATTTTAGGTTGTTTGTCCTGTGAAGGTGGCCCTGTGTTTGTGGATGAGAAGAGATAGCTAAGGCTTAAGAAAACAGGTGTGGCCTTGTGTTTGGGGGTTAGAAGAGATAGCTAAGGCTTAAGAAAACAGTTAAGCTTTTTCCCCCCTTCCAAGTAGCACCTAGCCTTTGAGTTGCTTGTAATTAATATCGCTCATTAGATGTTACTGTGACAACAAATTGTAACTGAATGTAATACTTACCATATTATTCTTATCATTTCATATTTCTAATCATCTTTGTATGACAGCAGAGCATGTCCGGTGCCTGTACTGTGAAGCTGCAGGAGCAAGGGTTGTGCATCCAACTTCGATGGAATTCCATGGTGGGGGCGAAGAGTTTGAGAAGGTGATCCACGGAGAACATTCTCTAAGCAATTCGTGGCTTATCTGCAAGAACAACTTCGCTGTCGAGCGCATGTGTGCAGTGGAAGAGGATTTCATGTACGTCGATGTCAATGAGACCGAATGAATCATTATGTAAGGCTGTTAACACGCTACAGCAGTAGTACTTAACTGATGGTAGGTGGTGACGACTAAACCTATTTGAGTATGTGCTATTTTGGGCCGAGGAGGAGGGAGTATAGTTGTCGGTTGTCCTCCATGAAGGACAGAAAACATCGTCATCCATCTGCTCGACGATGGCGAGTTTTACTTGTTTAATAAATGACTACGAGAAAGCGACTCGTGTCTGGGAAAGTAGGAATAAAGATTAGGCGAACAGTAGTACTCCCTCGGTCCCACAGAATGTAAAAAATCATTTTTAACTTGAACTAAATATATAAATACAAATATTAGTATTAGGGTAAAGACTTTGTTATGGATGTGCGGACGATAAACGTACCTCACGTTTGCACACGCTTCCCCATCTCCACACCTGCATTTCTCTCTCTTGGCGACCGGTGACCTCTCCATTGTGCCCCACCACGCCATAGACGGTGGCTTGGGCGGATCCGGCGAGGTAGGCTTCTTCTTTCTCCTGGATCTCCGAGTTAGGGTTCTGGCGAGTTCTCCCTCTTATCTTCCTCCACTCCAGCGGGCTTAGAAAGTGAAAGTTTGAGGGAGGAAGGCCAGCCATACGGTGGGGATGGCTGGAGGGTGGTTAGGAGCCTTGGCGGCGGTGGAGGCGGCCGGGCCAGCTCAGGGCGGGCGTCCCGACGCTGAAGCTAGAGGAGGAGGTCATGGTGGCGGCAGGAGAGGGGGAGAAGGAGGCCGCCGCGGGCATGCTAGGGCTTGGCCGGGCCATGGCAGGGTAGAGGGCGATGGCAGGGCCGAGGACGAGGATCTAGCGAGAGGTAGAAGACGGCCGTGCCTTAGGCAAACACACGCACGACGTATGCGTTAGCCACATCCTAGTATTAACTAGTATTATTAGATGATTATCCGAATATGTTTTTATAATAAATTTATTTAGAGATATAAATGTTACAAAAATTTCCTACAAATCTGATGAAGCTTAAGTTTCATTTACATGAACTCGTAGCGACACTGTTTTGTATAAATATTTTTCTTATTTCAAACAAAAAAATTAAGGAGTTGTTTTAAGGAGCTCATTTTTTTTGCACTAAAAAGTTGTAACTTTTGTCACTGAAAGATGCCAAAGAAAATATTTATTAGAGATATGAGGAATTGAACACCCACACCTTATCATGCATAGATTAGCCGTCTACTAATTGAGCTACATCCCTAACTGTGGAATATTTTGCACTACAAATTGTTGTATTCTTTTGTCATTGAAGTATAACAAAAAAATAAAAAAAGAATTCTTTTGGAGAGATGCAAGGAATCAAACCTCGGACCTTTTATCATGCATCATGTGTACTCCCTCTGTCCCATTATATGTGACGTTTTAGCTCTATATCAAGTACACCAAAGATTCTTGGAACATGGACATGGGGTGTGGCCACATGCATGAAGCTTTGCGTGAATCTAGACGTTTAAATGAGCTGCCAGAACGCCAAATGAAGTGGGACAGAGGGAGTAGATTAACACTCTACTAGTTGAGTTACATCCCTAACTATAACCTTGCACTCTAAAATTATTTATTCTTTTTTCATCAAATAAAAATAAAATAAAAAATATTGGATACATGAGGAATTGAACAAACATACTTCTTAGATTAAAACCCTACCAACTTAGTTGCGCCCCCAACTTTTTTCTGTAATACAAATGAGTTTATGTAGGAAGAGAAACAAAATAAAAAAAATATTACTGGAGATGCAATGAAGTGAACACAGTGTACCTTTAGCATGCTTAGATTAAGGATCTACTAATTGAGCTACATCCCCCAATCAAAACATGCAAGGAAAAAAATACTTCCATGAATCGAGTTTAATTAACGTCTCTACGACTTCTAAAATGCGAGAACGTACTGATAGGCAAACCTATCCAGCCATCGAGGGACGGCCCAATTCAAGCACTAACCACCAAATTATTCCTACAAGCCCAATTGGAAAAAAAGAATGGGCCCAATACACGATAACCTACACCTAAACTGATAGTATACTATCGACCTCCGATTCGATAATAGCACGGAACGTCAAGGGCTAGGACATCTTGAAGGGCTAGCGTCCGCACACCTGCGCTTGTTTTACATGGGGCTGGCGCCGCACCGTGTCTCGCACACACACCATGGTCCGCGCCGCTTCGTGTCCCATGCCCTCAGTGGTGTCCCTTCCACACCCACGCGCATGCATGCGGGCCCAACAGCTATAGCAGGTGGTTGTTGCAGATAGGTCCCACTGCAACATATGCAACACTAGATTTGCTTTTGCAATATCTGGATGAAACACTTGCAATATACGTCCGAAACAATTAAAACACTTGCAACATACGTCTGAAACACCAGGGAAAAGACGTGTGTAGCCATTGCAAAATATACGCAACATCTAAATGAAACACTTGCAACATATGTGTGAAACATATGCAACATCCGAATGAAACACACTTGTAACATATGTGTGAAAAAACAGATGAAACATTAGGGGCAGACATTTGCTACATAAGTGTACAACCATTGCAACATATGCAACATCCTGATCTACTTTTGCAACACACATACGAAACCCTTGCAACATACTTCTGAAACAACTGAAACACTTGAAACATACGCTTGTAACATGCGCTTTTAGCGCAATGTCACCTTGCTTGGACGGTTGGAGCTTGTCCTTGTGGAGCTCGACGCCGGCGCGGAGCTCAATGCCACGGAGTGCGCGGACGTCGTCAGTGCAGAGCTCATCGGCGGCACGGACCTCGACAGTGGCTGTGATCAGTCACGAAGCCAAAAAAAAAATTTAGGAGGGGCTGAACAAAAGAATAGAGGTTTTTTATCTTTTCTTAACCTTAGTCTCTCCTACCTAATACATATATGCATAAAATTTTAAGGGAAGGCTTACTCCACGTGCCCACGATCGGTAGGGGGGCTAGAGCCCCCCAGCCCCACCGCTGGCTCCGTCGCTGGCTGTGATAGGCGGATGGAGCGTGGCCATGATGGGAGGCGTGAGTCCGGACGGCTGGCAGGTGGCGCGGGTGGGGGCAACGCTGGCGAGCGGCGTAGGCGGAGTTCGTCCCACGAGCGAAGGCTGCGCGGGTGAGCGGAGTCCGTCCCACGAGCACAGACGCGCAGCGCAAAGCGCGCGTGCGATGCGGGCAAAGTCTGCGCATGAGTGGATGAGAATGGGTCCGTGGATAAGTCGATATAATAATATAATATTATGATCTGCTACGTCGGCGTGCTGCGCTCCCCATGGAGCATGCACCGTACTCTCCAATTGTTTCAGTTCAGCATTTGCCAAAAGTAACTGAACTGTTAGTAGTATTATCTCTGACGCGCTAATACAAAGCATCTCGATCGTACAACAATAACAGGAAGAATAGAAGCATGGCTACGTGAGGGCTTGCGAGGTTTCCCTTGCCACCATTGTTACCCTGCTACCTACTGGTACTGGGACCAAACCGAACACACAAGAAGTCAAAATAGGTTCAGTATACATACATTCGCAGTTACATTACCCGCAGATCTACCCTTCTCTAGTTCTCTTGTTCTCTGCTGCGATGAGACCGTGTTCGTTTTGCTGAAAAGCCAGGCTTAAAAAGCACTATTCGCTGATTTATTGTGAGAGAAAAATAATATACCATAGCTATTAAGCCAGGCTGATAAGTTCAAGCGATGATAGTAATGTTTGTGCATGAACTGGAACTGTGCTGGTTGGTAAATTCAGCTACATGCCCAACTGTGGTATATTTTTGCACTGCGAAAATTAATTTGTTTTTCTTCCATCAAAGGAAAACAAAATAAAAAAAGAATATTTTAGAGACCCAAGGAATCAAACCCTCTAACTTTATCATGCTTAGACTAACAATCAACTAAATTTATTTTTCTTGCACTAAAAAGTAATTTACAACTTTTCTATTAAAGAGAATAAAACAAAAAAATATTATTATTGGAGATGCAAGGAATCGAATCACATGCCTTTATCATGCATATAGATTAATTAATTGTCTACTATTGAGCTACATATCCCCAACTTTAGTTTACTTTGCACTACAAACTAATTTATAGTTTTTTAGCAATGAAGATAAAAAAAGGGAGCATGTTCCTATCAAATGAGCTACATTCCAAATTCTAGCGTATTTTGCAGTATAATTATTTTTCCATTGAAGGGAACAAAATTAAAAATATATTTTTGTGGTGATGCAAACAACTATACCCTTTCCTACTAAGTTTACATTAGAGTCTGTCTACTACACAATCATGTGTTTTATGCAATTCCAACACATGAATTTTTTTGCACCATAAGATTAAGATCAACAGCCTCCACCCTTCTTCTACCTCCGGTCTTTTTCTACCTTCAGACAATCACAAGATCACAGATCCACAGATCACAGAAAACAATTTTTTTTGCTAAAACACATGTGTGTTGTATAGCATTTCTGTTACAATAATGCTCTACCAATTGAGCTACATTTCTAACTTTAACTTTTCCACTAAAAAATAGTTTAAATTTTGCCACGTCATGTAGGATTGCATTTCTTGAATATGGATATCTGACTTAATGCACGGTAAATTTCTGACTTAAGGTTACTCATCATAGCAGCAATGTATTGACAAATGACTAAACCATGGGCTAGAGAGTCTTGAATAAAACATATTTATAACAAATACGTTTTTTCATCATTGAAGACGATGAACCATGCATCATCCTGGTCAGCGTGGGAGGACAACATATACTTCCTGTATAATGGCGAATTGTTCCTATTTTCACTGAATGGATTGATTCTCCATTAAGATCAGATGACATCGAAGCGAGATACCAGAGTTGAGGAGGAAAAAAAAGCATCAAGAACAAGCACACGAATTCCAAACAAAGAAGCACATATATACATATATCTACCAAATATATAAGATGTCTGTTTCTATATAAGTAAATACCAGGGAAACCATGTACAGGCACAAATCAGTTACAAGCACCA